AAAATGTAGATTTGATATACCACTTCGTATTTTATTTATTCCAGAGCCTCACTGAGACCAACTTGCAAAGAAGGCCTCCTGGGCGCACGCCTGATCCTAAGCTCCGCAATACTCTGCCCGTTTCTACTGCTCCATGAACGCCTGCAAGGAACATGGTTAATGACTGTGCATCTCGGCCACGTTTCTCCTTTTGTTAATGAGGAAGATGCATTTTTTCCCCCAATCCAGGCAGAATGATGTTGTTACCACTCTTCCAAAGCCTCCCAACTCAGGGTTGTCCAGAAAGCACTTTTTTTGCATTCCTAACTGAAAAGCTTTTTTTGTATTAAAATCTTTAAGATGTATTTAAATAATCTTTTAACATGACAGCCTTATACCTTATTTTCTTCTTCTTTTTTTTTTTTTTCTTTTTTTTCTTTTCCTAGCTTGGTGGCTGTGAGAAGCAGGGAGTCGCATGGTGACACAAAGACTGTCTCCAGCCACCCAGCTGCGGTCCTGTGCTGCGAGCTGCTGCCCCACAGCATGGAGGCATTAGCAGGAGATGCCAGGCCACACGGAACAGCCATTCACGCATCTTCTCCGCTATTTCAAATATACATCACTTGCATAAATCACTTCCGTGATATAACACCAGACATCTACAATGCTAAGAGGTAAGAGCACGGTGCTATTCTTGTTTCAACCTAGCAATAACTCTGTTGGGTTAAACATGGCAGCCCATTACAGCTCAAAACAAGAGTACCCCCTTCTTCATACTGCCGGAGGCTGTGGAACTAAAACCTCCTCCGTCTGTTCATCTATCACCTTTTCTAAAGCTGAAGATAGCTGGGCTGTTAATCCCCTCCATTGGTAAATGGCTTTCTGGAATGTCTCTCTCCTCTGACACCTAAAACAAGCTCTCCCCTTTAGCTAGAAATTTCTGAGAAATTGAAATATTGGCATGTTTCTCTCTAGTCCTGCTTAGCCTAGTGAGAGGGTCCCATGGGGTTTTGGCAGTCTGTCTGAACTACCTGGCGCTCACTGTAAGCACATACTTGTTAATTCATACTCTGCACTCGGGTTCACGATGGCTGATTTCACCTCCCTTGGAGCAGAAATAAGCATTTTAAATAATTTTCTCAAATTAAGACAAAGATCAGGACAATGTGTCTATTTTGCATGCACTGAATAACAATCCCAGTTCCAGGCCATGACTGCACTAAGCATTAGGAGCAGACCAGCTTTCACACAGTTCTCTATGCAGCTCCTGTCTGATCGCGATCTTTGCAAGAAACAGTAATCACAACCCTTACGTTACGAGCAGAGAAATCCAAGTGACATTTATCGATGCCGTATTTATTGATGCCTGCTCTCTTTAACAGGCTCTGAGGGGCTGTGGGATTCCAGAGAAGGCATTTGCTACCGGCCCACAGAAAAGGAAGAGCTTCAGCTGCCCGAAAAGAGCCGGTCAAGCCCAGCACTTCTGCGCAGCAAACAGGCCCAGTGCAACACAGACAGCAAGAACCAGGTTTGTGGTTTTTTTTTTTAACCAATCTCATGAACTAGTCGGAACATACTGGTGCTGAAAGACACGGCATTGCCTCACATTCCTAGAGCAAAGATCAGATGTTGAGAAACACAGCACAACAAAAACTTTTGAATTTGCATGTAGATTATTGGTACGACCCAAAGAATCACTGCTGCCACTAATATGCCAAAATATGGGCAAATTATCCACATTTCTCTCGTCTCGCCGAGCAAAGGCAGAGGCAGATGGGGCATTTTATAAGCATGGAACAACAAAGGGAGCTCGCCCGCCATATGGTAGGTGAGGCTCAAGCCTGACACCAGGGAGTGCACGGAGACGTGGAGGCCTTGCCCAGGGCCCAGCCCCACTGCGTACAAAGGGAACAGTTGAACACAAGTGTTCACTTTTAGCACCTTAGCAGCTGCAAATCTCTAAGCTTCCTACACTTGCCCTGGAGAACAAGCAGATTCTCCGGCAGATGATTCAGAATAAAAGTCCAACAGATTCCTGCGCTGAACTGCTGCTCCAGCCTAAACTGTATCCTCTCCACAGTGACAATCCCTGTCTTGTCCTCTTGTTATAAGCTGGAGAACAAGGAAAGAAGGTAAGAGACAGACCAAAAATTGGCAATGAATCTCATCCACCAAAGCAGGAAAGAAAAAAAAAAAAAAAAAAAAAGGGGGGGGAGGTATGCCTAAAATGCATTACCTTAAAAATGGTGTTAATTACATAAAATACAACCTAACAAAAACACTTCCCCCATACTGTCTTGCAAGTACCTTCTAAACATTACTGTAGTAAGAGTAAATATGCTGTCCCAGCTACTGCAGGCATAAGGATAAGAGATGCCATCTGCCTAATATCATTAACTTTAGGTGAGTAAAGGGCATGTCAAAACGCTCAGTGTGCAGCTTTGACTCACTCCTCCTCAAGTGCCTTGACCTCTTTAATTACACTGTCAATTATGGCAACTCAGAGCTGGACCAATCACTGACAATTTGCCTAATAAATAAAAATCTGCTTATAATGGATTTGCCATGGGGACTCTTCAGATTCACACGGGAAAACCACGGAGAGCATTTCCATTAACCGCCACAGAGCTCCTACCAGAGGAGGCAGCTCCCACTCCTCCAAGAAGCATGAATATCCCTGGAGCAGCCGGCCACGCTTCCCCCACAGCTCTAGGTACACGCAGGGTTGGCAGAGGACACACTCAGGAGTTGTGAAAAGTCATACACGAGAAGCCCATGCTATCTGATCACTTCGCTCAAGGAGTTCCTTGCTTCGGTGTTCGCCCCTGTTCCCACCTTCTGCAGAACCGCCTATTTTGCAAGGCCTTTCCTCGTGCTGAGCGGGCAGGACGCAGGGAACCCCTCGGCACGGGAAGACAGCGAGTTCCCTGTGCTCCTCCTGAGCACAGAGAGGCGGTGGTTAAGGGGAAGCCAAGCCCTACCCAGAAATGCTAACAGCTTTGTAATCCCACAGCATTCATCACATAAAAGAGGCAGGAGTTCCCATCAAATGTCCTGGGTGTTTCATGCTCTTCAGGAAACGACTCTCTACACAAAGCAAATGATGAAGAAAGTACTGTGGTGCACACCAGGCACCATCATTCCCTGAAGAGGCTACAAAGAGTCATGGATACCACAAATACGAACCAGCACAGGATGCTGCTGCAGATATAAGGTTTTATTGGTGTGAAAGTGGGAAGGTTCCCACTCACAGTATCTTGAATGTCTTCTGCAGAAACCTTTTGAGATATACGGTTTACATCTTTATTAGAAAGCTCGTTTCAACTTTAATCTATTCCAAAAAACTTTCCAATAAAGGAAAATGGAAGAGAGAAGTAGCTGTATCACAAGTGCACATCTGTTTCCACAAGTAAACAGCACATGAACTAATAAAAGCTGCCCCACGTTGTGATCACTGCTAACATCTTGATCTTAAGTTCACAATTTCCTCAACGTAGAATTCCTATTCTACCTGATGAGCAGTTTGAAACAATGTCCAACAATTTCCCACACATTATAAAATACTCCAGGAATACCAGACATCCCATCAGACTGAAAGCTTCCTTTGCATAGCTGGAGTTGCAAGTGTTTCAGATAGTAGTACCCGACCAAACTGTGCCTTCCTGCACAGAGAACACAGTGCAGTGCATCCTGTTTCGTTATGGTGGAGGAATTATACACCATGCTTCCCAGCTCATTGACAACAATGATTAAAAGAAATATTATCTTAATGTCTAATTTGTTAAGCCATCTCACTTCATTACTAAAACCTCAGACTCATCTGCATTAGCTGCAGACGTGGCTGACATCTGACCTTCTCAAGCACTAGCAGACTGGACTCTGCATTTCTGCCTCTGGTCAGAGCACTGGACGTGCAGGACTGAGGCACAGAAGACCAGGAAGGATTTCAACGCAAACATATTTGATAAGCTGCTCAACCATTGCTGTTTTCAGTGTCATAATATCTGAACTTCAATTGGTTTAAAAGCTATGAATTGTCAAAGGTAAATTAGAGAGAGTTCCTGTGAAAATGTGCAATGCTTCAGGTTCTTTGGGCATGATATTGACGGAATCATAACATGTCCCTTGGAGCCGTACGGATTAAGGAATTACGGCTTCCTGTCGTTCTGTCCCTCCTCTCAGCCCAGGTAGAAGGGCAGCAGCGCAGGCAGCGCTAACGGCCGCTTTGCAACTGCAGTAGGAACTGGCTTTGCCCAATGGGGCATAGTCAGTAACCAGGTGCAGTCAATAACTATGAAAGGTGGCTAACAACAGAAGAACCACTTCACGCAGAAAGAAACCAGGAAGGAGAATCAGCCAGGTAACTTCATCTCACTGAATGACCAAGGGAGTTAAAGGTCTCATGCTCACGTTCTTCAGAAGCTCTCTGACCATTTTTAGGCTGAAAATGAGCCACATGATAACCAAGGGAGTTTTTACAGGTATAATCTTCATTGAAAGGATGTTAGACATCTGCTGTAAAGACAGACTTTAATAGACTTGCAGGTTTGTTCTAACCCAGAGGCACAGATAGGGATATGCAGGCCACATTCCCCAGATGTTCTACATCAGCTCACAGAAAGGGAATTTATTAGCAAAACCAAAGTTGTGGCAGGATCCAAATAAATGAAAGACAAAAAATACCCTACATGACATTGTTTACTCTAGTGGCAATTCCTTGATGGCAGTGAAGAGTTTGCCCAGCACTCCTGGAAACATTATACAGAGTTCAGATGCTTCCTGTAAGGTCTGGTACTCAACTAGTAGGCACAAATACCCCTCTCCCCTCATATACACTTTAAACTAAAAGCTGTATTTCTTTCAGAGTTGTGCAAGATACAGCTCAGGGCTGTCCCTTGAGAACCATCTGTGAGCACGTGAAGGAAGCCAGAGCAACGAAATACTTAACTCACTGAAGCAGACAAATCTGAAAAACTAATCAAAGCTCAAGCTATCTGAAATAGCTCTCACTTCCTACATACCTTTTCAGAGAAAACAACTCCCAAACCACACCAAACAAGCCAAGTCCACGAAGACTGGCAGTCAGGGAGTACTTCCTCCTCTCTAATACTTGTATCTAAATCCTCTTCAAACCCTTAAAAGCGCAAGCACATGTGAAAACAAGAAAATGCAAGAAAGCACAAACAGGAATTCGAGAAGCTGAGAGATGTCAAAAAGAAAATACCAAACAGTGAAAGAGATGGAGCTGCTCTTTAATACACCACACAACCAATAAAGTCAAAACACTAAAGTTTCCTGTGCAATGTGTTGGCTTGTAAGGATTGGTATAGCATTTACAGGGAGGAGAAAGCATACAGTTGAACAAATTAAACTACACAATAATTATTTTGAGATGGACCAAAGACACTGTCTTTAGTACTGAGATGAATTCTTAGATATGACAAAACATATCCAAGACAACTGTTTTTCAAGTAGCGTTAATTGCAACCTATAGAAGATGGGAGGAAATGTCAGTCACTGGCACAATGTGACTGTTACTCAGAAAAGAAGAGCTGAATTTTGAAGAGTAATTGCACAGACAAGCAAGTCTTAATAGCAACACAGTATTAAAGTCACGAGTATTTCTATTAACACGTGATAACTCACAATATCTTACCCACTTACGAGAAGCAAGACTTCTTTCCAGTTAAACCAAAGCTAACTCTACCCATCCCTTTGCCTGAGAAAGAAAAACCCAAGCATGTTGCAACATTTCTTGAACAATAATAATAAAAAAACAACCAAAAACAAAACCCCACATGGCTAAGTTCTGTTCTACCAGACACATGGACACATGCACAAATGCTGCTCTCAGCAGAGAAACTGTGCTTATGACTCGACTTATTTCAGCAAAACATTTACACATTTTATTTTTCAAACAGCTCAGTCAAAATTGCCTCTTTCAAAAGCTAGTACAGGGCATACACATCTGGAACAGACTTGTAACCCAGCATGCCCAGGTACCTTACCTTCAGTGTGGACATCGGGCAGCGCATCAGTGGAAGGCTGCGCTACAGCTGCTCGCCTATACACCATGTGAATTCTTCCCTTTTCCTCATCCATTTGCTTTCCTCTTTCCAAAGGCTCAATGAAGTATTCATCCTCATCAGTTCTTATCATTCCAGCCTGGTGAGCAAAAGAGAGAAAGCATACAAATACATCAGGAGTCTACATACCTGTCCTCATGCTTTAACAACAAATAAACATCACAGCGGTGAAGTATAAAACAGCATATTACTGTACTATAAGTTAAATTGAGCACTGAATTTCTTTTATGCAGACCTCTGGCCTGGTAGGATATCCTTCTGCCTTCGGAGGATTTTTATCTGGGCTCAAATTAAGTTCAAAGGCATTAAGATCATGAAAAAGCACAACCAAGAGCCAAGTCACAGAGGAGTTTGCCATTTGTACGCTCTAAGGGTGGCATGCTGAGCTCTGCTTAATGCAGGGTTCTGCAGATCTCTAACAGGTACCATGTTCCATTCGGAACCACCTACATGCTCAGGCCTTTCCTTTTATTTCATTAAAACCAGCAGAAGCTGTGTGGTTTCACATTTAAACAGAGATGCACTGTTCACTCCTGTAACTATGTAGCTGTTGACAGTTCTTTAAAACCCTTTCTCTTGGTATCTTCCTCCTGAAAAAAAGGCTACAGCAGGGGCATATCTGTCCTGATGCCTACTACAACTCATGTACGACCTCCCTAAACAGATCTTCCCTGGGAACAAATGGATGCTACTAGTCTTGTATTCAACAGATGATTTATGCCCAGGAGACAAAATTATGAAAATCTATGACAGAGTTTAAGAAATAGTATTCTAATCAAAACATCCAATCAAAAAAATCCCAAACAGTATTTCATCACAAGCTTTCCCTGTTCCAATTGTTTTCATACATTTAGTCATCTCTTCAGCTAACATATTTCTTCAAATATTAGCTAAACTATATAAATATAAATACTGCATTTTCCCTTTGTTTTCTTTACATGAGCATCAGAAATAACTGGCATTTTTGACTGGAATAACTCAAGTTAGCAGCACAAATCAGTTTTTCATGTGGCTACTGCTCATCATTAGACTGGGAATTAGCAAGTCCCTCTGCATGTTAATGGCTGGCTTGCTTGCCATTTTTCTAAGCAAAAGTGAGTTCTGAACCTACAGTTGCTATGTTACTGGTGTAAGACCTTATTTTGGCATACAGATTTGGGGTAAATAACCCATTTTCTGTGAGGCTGCTTGCCTGTGAGTTGAAAGTAGCTCTGTTCAAGCAGCCCACTGCTCACAAGCAAAGCTTGGTGGCATTTCCCAGCCCTAACACGGGCTTTTTCTTTCCCGTGCTAAAACTACAAAGAAAAAAGGAGACCACAACTGTGTTTTTGAAAATGGGTGTGCCTTTCTGTTAAAGGCATATAGGAACTATTTGCAAGCATCAAATATAATTTCAGCTTTTACAGTCCCCCATAAAACACATGAACAGCCCTAACACATTCCACCCCCTTTAAACCGTAACTCATTATCTTACCTCGGAAGATTCCTCCTAGCTTGACAAATCTGACAACCCTTCCTTATTAATAGCAGACATAAACAGTTTAATTTTTTTTTGAAATTTTAAAACCGATTTTAAAAGTCTAATTACTAGTAAAAATGACAAGATTCAGAGTGAGCATCTCATTTCACCTAATCATGCTCAACTCATCCTGTGGTCCCCATGAGAAAACCTGCAAATTTAAGAAGTACAAGCCTGGAGATAAATGACGCAGGTTCCAGGCGACGTGCAGCGCAGCTGTGCGGGGGACCCTCAGCCACCCGGGCTCGCCGTGCGGGCACCGTGGCTGCCGCGCACCCAGGCCGCCCTCGCGCTGCGGGTGCTCTGCCCATCTGCAAGGCAGAATTAACAACTCGCTGCTAACCAAGCATCTTCTGTTACTGTCTCCCTTGTTTTCCAGTGCCAAGTTTTCAGCGTGTTCCCAATTTCGTGGCTGATGACAAACTGCTATTGAACAAATAAAGCAAATGGCAACAGGAGGAGACTCTGTAAGGAGTCTGATCTGAACAGCGCCTTTTCTGTAGCTAGATCCCACTTCAGGCAGTGATTACACATCATACCAACCTATCTTTTATACAGCTTTTATGGTCGATTAATTATACAGACACAGGGAGCTTTTGTTTGGCTTTATGGAAGTGATTATCTCCTCTGATTTCAGTGCATTTATTTTGAGGAGCTAGACCAGAATTTCAAATAAACATGTTGCAAATAATTTCTCGTCAAAATTTGCAAATCTAGCCCTTCAGCTGGATTTCCAACTGGTCACCACCAACATGGGGCTCCTGGAGAGCTCTCTATCCAGTAGATCCAACTCTGAGACAATGATCTGACTCTGAGAGCAACTAACAACCTCCCGCTGGCGCAGCAGACACATTGATTAAAAATATACAGTCCTCAAATAACTCACACCGACTGAAGGCAGCCCGCACGGACCCTTCACCCAACACAGGGATGTGCTGCTTGGAGCAACAGTGTTCCCCACATTCTCAAGGGAAAAAAGGAAGAGCCACAGCGGAGACCAGCGGCTTTGTGGCCAAAACTGGCTTTGTGGTGAAAAGTCAGACCAAAAGGGCTCCAGTAGTAAGACATGTATGTGGGGCAAAAAAGAGCATCAGTTACTCTAGCAGCAAAACATGGGATTTTTACTCAGCATGGATTCTCTCTTGCTTTCTTCCTCATCCTGTCCACACCTTTCAGGCTCATTTTACTCTTTGCTTCATCTGCAGAAAGGATTTTTCTTTTAAAATCAATCATTATTGTGAAAATGAAATACATTTCTGGATGCTCTTGAATAATTTATTTGCACCCACTTTAGAGATACTCAGCCTTGCTTTGTTTTTTACAGCAAACAGTACAAATATTAATATGTTCTGCCTGACACTCGATATATAAAATTCAAAATTAGGATAGTGGCATTATGTTAGGAAACACATTCTACAAGACAGCAGACAATTAAGTATCCAAATTTGCTTTTTTTTTAGTGGCAAATAAAATATGCAATCAACAAACAGCTTTGCTCCCTGTTACCAGCCTATCCCCAAGTGCGAATGCAGAACACGGCTTTCTTTCTGAAACTTTTTTCCTGGATTTCAGCCATGAAAAGAATAGGAAGTTTTCCAAATGAATGGAGAACGAGGGGCTTGGGTTTATACAGACCACCCAAAAGCAGTTATCAAACTTGCAACAGAACCATCATGGTAAACTCCACTGCCCAGCCAGCATTATTTTTCCCTCATCAGTCAGTGAGAAAAGCAAGCAGGTGTTTAGAGCACGTATTTTTAAAGACTCACTTGGAAAAAAGACTGCAGTGGATTTTCAAGAAAGAAGTATGTAGTGGAAAATTCTTTTTTTTTTTTTTCCCCAAAAACCACATTTATGGAGCAATACAGGAAAGCATAGTCTGAAATCTTGGAATGCCATTAATTTTACTACTTTTTTCTTAAAAATTAACAACATTCAATATTTCCATCAACTGAAAGATGCAGTTATGCAGAACTGTCCTCACATGCCTTAAAACATGAAAGCAAGAACACAGTAAAAGCACAAAAAGGCTCAGGAATCCTTAGTGGCGGAGCGAGCAAGGAGGCCTGGAAACAAACGCGGCTGCTCCGTTCTTGCACCGCTTCGGCCTCGACCAAGGCCCTGGGGAAGTGGATGAAGCTCTCAGCTTTCCTGCAGGCTCCCTTCGCCCAGTTTGGAAACGGCAGTGGGGACCCCACACGGACGTGTTTTAGAGGGGAAAGCTGCTCAAGTTCTGCTCAGCACCCTTTGTGCACACACCTTGCTGCCCAGTATCTGTAATTGTCTCTTCAATGGACTCATTACCCTCAATGCACTTCATCTTGGCAACGCTCCTCACTCGCTCCAGGCCAGAGCTAAGGGCGCAGGTGCAGGGAAGCCTCTCTGAACAGGGGGCGGAACAGGTCCTGTCATGACATGGAATAAAAGGCACCTGAGAGCAAATGGAACTCAGGCTGGCACATGCAGGACACCCACAAGGATTCTAGGCGACATCAACAGATGTCCTGTTGTCAGAAACTACATCAATAAATGTAAAACCTGGAAAAATGCACTTCTTTTTTCAAGTGAAAAAAAAAAGGACAATAAAAATAAGGGAATTACAAATGATATAAAGCCTTGAGAAAACAACCTAAAAGGGCAGCTTAAACTAAGGAATCAGTTATTGAGCCAAGATCAACAGCATTTAAGGGGGAACATGATTCTGTGTAAACACGCATTGGGTATTAGCTGCAGGCGAGGAAAGAGCCAGTCATTCACGGGAATACAACAGAGAACTGTGGAGCGACCATCAAGAATGGATACATTTAACTTGAATATTTGAGCAAACATTACGGGTGGGATTTTCAGAAGTATTTTAGGAAGTTAAATGCCCCATTTCTAGTGCTTTGCAACGAGGACAGGTTGCTCAGGTGTGTTTTGCAAAGCCCTTCCGCACTCGTCAGAAAGGCCCGGCCAGATGGGCAAGGCAGCAGCTGCTGCCGAATCCGAGGCCACACTGCCCATTCTCGCCACTAAGGGCCACCTGGGAGCGGGAAGTGCTCCGGGTGTTAATGTCCACTGGACATTATTTAACCCAAGAAACCCATGGCAAAGCATCCCATCCCACCTTCCACTCACACTGAGTAACAGGAGGTCAGTTCATGCTCTGGCCTCTTGGTGACTCCACCATTGCCCACTGCTGCTGTCAAGGAAATGTTCCTCTTTTGTTAATCCGTTCACAAAACACCCTTTTTTCTAGTTGCCTATATATATACATATATATATATACATATATAAAGAACTTGACAGAAGCTAAGTTTCTCAAGCACCAAGACCTCTATGTGATGCAGTCATCAATACTGCCTTCCTGCTCCCATCTACTGCCCCACGTGCGTCTGCTTCCTCCTGTCTCACATCTCCGAGCTCTTCAAAGCAGGGGCTGTCATTACTATCTGCTCTACAGCAGCCAGCACAGGAGGACGCTCGATCCATTGACAGATACCAGTATAATCCAAGCACACGGCAGGCAACTGAAATCAAGTGTTGCACATATTTACAGCTGTGTACAAATGCTTGAAGAG